TGAGCCTTTTTAAATTTTTGTTTGATCCGCGATGCCCAGCAGCCGTGCTGTTTTTTGCAGCAAATCCCCCAACCGTAAATTTGTTTTTGATCCTTTTTCAATTTCTTTTTGATCGGTTGAGCCTAAATTTGTTTTTGATCCATTTAAAATTTTTTTTTGATCCTCCATCCCTTGACCTCAACCGCTGCTGGAGAATGTTTGGAGCTGGGCTCTCAATTTTGCTGCTCGGATATGAGAGGCACCGGCTGTTTCATCCACACGTCATCGCCTACTTTGACACGTTTATCGAGGCACCGCAGGGTGTAGAAGGTCGACGGGTGGCTTAGCCGTTGGCATATCTCCACTTGTGCGATAGCAGGTAGCAGTTGCTATGAAGTGCTCTTCTTTTCCGACAGCACGACTCCGCAAATGTCACGTTTTCATTCCCGACACGCCGTATCAGGCCGACAAGCTGCACATCGTGCTCGAGTATGCAGATGGTGGTCCAGTCCTTACTGACAGTCGGCAAGCCTTGCGCCCTACAACTCCGGAGACCACCTCTGACCCTGCTCCCTTTTGCTCAGAGTGTGGTCCGAAAGCAGAATCCCGAGCAACGGTGGAAGAAGGAAGGGGCCTCACACGCCAGCAAAATTTTGCAGTACGTTGCTTCCGGCTTTGAATGTCTTAGTGGTCCGGCTCTCCCCTGTCATGCCAGTGAGCCACTATATATTTCTCAAAAACTGTGCAGTCCTTCTATTCCAGCATGCTTAGAGCTGAGGGTGTTGGGACACTTTCAACATGTAGATCTGAGTGTGCCGCACCGCCCAGAGCATCCATGCTCGACCCGCCGGTAACGTCTAGTCCGACCTCCCCTAAAGCATGAAACCCACACCAGCCGCCGCTTCCGTGCGCCCACGCTGCCTGAGCATCGTATCCACTCCACTCTTGCAGGGGGCGGGTTCGCCGCCGAAGTGCCGGGTTGAAGAGCCATAGTTAAATGAATTGCAGAGGATTCGATGTGACAACTTGTCCCGTGCACACTTGTGCCATCTTGTGCCACCTGCAATAATAATAAGAAGAAAAGATGGTAAGACGAAGAGCACAACCAGAAATAATTAGGAGTCATGGGTCTGCCCGTGCACACTGGGCTTTGGGCATCTGTCCATGTTCGGACCAAAGCCTGATCGGGCAATCGCAACAGATCCCGTCAGTCTCACAACAGATACCAGCACGGGGCATGTCAGGCAGAGCCGAAACATGGGCTTGAAGGCTTTGCACAAATTGCTCGATGTAGGAACATGTGGATTGGAACCATGGCTTGCTCTACTTGCAAAGACACCTCAGTCCGTTACCCAGGTGATCTCTACACAGAGGTGCAGAGGCACGCAGCATTGCGTAGTGCTCAGGACCGATGCCGGAGCATCGGGTTGGGACTGGGACAGAATTCCGCGTGCCAGGCGGCAGAAGGACGATGAATACTTTAGCGAGGACGAGGCCATGACACTGTCGGTAACTCAGGGGACAACTCTGGGGCTTCAAGATGCGCGGCACATTCCACAACAGTGGGGAAGTTGGTTTCCAGGCACGAAGAGTCTTGCAGAACCCAACAGGTCGACCAACATTTGTTGGGTCCCAGCTATCCGTAGAATTGCAAAAGGCCCCCGTTCGGTGAGCTATCAGCCCATCTTTCCTAAGAGAGACAGGACTCGCTCTTTTTGCGGAGGAAAGTAAGTCGGAAATCTCGGCGAACATCGTGAAATGTACTTGGTCCAAGAAACACAAGAATCCCTCAATATCTCGGAGACGAGAGCACAGGTTTCGACAATGCCTGAGCGCTGTAGCGTACATCCACAAGAGCCTTGGTTGCAAGCTCAGGTGGTTGGGGTCTGTTGGCTTCTTTTCTGTCTTCTTGCTGAAGCACCCTTCGTCATAGATGGTAGTGCCACTACTGGGTAAGGAGATGTGCCCGGAATGTCCGAGCCTGTTGCTTTGTTTTTCGGAGAAGCTGATTCAGGAAGAAGATTCTTCATCGCGACATCAAGCTCCCGGCTCGCAAGTGGAGGGTCGTGCGATGCTACGAACCGCAACTATTCAGAAGCACCCTCATCTGGAAGCAGTCATGGCAGTGAAAGCCCGGAACGTGCAAGAATGCCTGCGCATGTCGGGCCGCGGCAACTCGAAAGGACGCAGAACATCTTCTTGATGAAGTCTGGTGACGCCAAGCTTGGCGATTTCGGCCTCGGCAGCTGCAATTGGTTTGTCTCAGTTCAGGAGGTAAGGTCGGAGAGCACCCTGCCCTTGTACTGCAATAGGCGACGGTCCCAGAAAGCTGTTGAGAGAGATCTTGGGGGCCTCTTGGGGGCCTCTAGGGAGGGGAGCTCCAGGCATCTCGAAGGTGATGGACGAGACCATGGTTGCGGGCACCGTGGTGGGAACACCGGCCTACTTGGCCTCCTGGCGCTGACGCGCTGACGGTAGGTTCTTTGTGTGAATTTTTGATGGGGTTCAAGCGGGCGCAGGAACATGCCCCCGCTTCAGGTGTCATTGCCAGCCCATCGATTCCCAACACCCCCCTCCAGTCGTGAGCGGGCGAGATGGTTAGTCAGTTTCCCGGGAGAATCCGGAGTCTGCATACTCATCCCAACACTTGAAGCAGTAGGCTGCATGTTTGGCACGCTCTGTGCTGGCACACAGGGGACCTTGTGCGATCCTAGGCACCGGAAATTTGCAATGGTGCGAAGTACGGACTCCCTGGCATGGGTTGGCGAAAGAGTGATGTGCAGCCTAAGAAATCGACGACATCTCGTGCTGGGCTGCAGAACCGCGAGCGCAGAGGGACCCCAACCCTGAACTTGCCCGAGGCTCTCAGCAGTGACATGTTGCAGGAAGCCGCATAGACGTCTGGTCTCTGGGAGCCGTCCTCTATGAAATCCTCGCGCTTAAGCGCCTCGGTCAGTGAGGGAGCTTCCCGCTTTCAGGGGCTCTGGCTCAGGGTCCTACTGTAGGGTAGGGACTCTGGGTCCTGAACTCCTGGGTTTTCGGGGTTTGTTCAGCGGCTGTGTCGAATCTGACAGCAACACCAAGCCGGTTCGGCATGTGGTCCAGGCATCCGTTTCAAGCGAGCAACATGGCGGCCACGCTCATGAAGATCATCAGCGCGGACTCTTGCCTAATTATCCTACTGCAGCTGGGGCGGGACCAGTCTTTGCCATAGAACTGTCGTAGCTGCCTCGAACGCTCCAGCTATGGTGAGCGGAGCCGGGAGCAAGTTCGGGTTCCTGCCCGAGCCTGAAGCCCTGCTAACACAGCGCGCCTTCATCAAAGCCCCTCACAGTTGCTCGCGTGCTGCGAATTCTTGGAGCGCAACAGCCGAATCTCCTTGAAAGAATCCGAAAGCACCTTGCCTCCAAATCAGGATCCGGCTCCCCTGCCCGACCGCTGCAGTGAGGAGGCATCGTGTCCGACTTGAGGCTTTCCGGGTTATCGCACGGGTTGTCGCCCCCCCGCCAAAGAGGTCAAGGCGGTGGTCGCGCTGGCCCTGCAAAAGGACCAGAACAAGCGGCCCTCGGCCAAGGCGAGGCTGCTTCTGAAAATACGAGGGTCCCGCACCGCAGATGTCCTAGCAGCATCCTTATCGTAAGGCCTAAACAAAGGAAAGGTGCCCCTGATTCTATGCTTCGGGATTCGGAAGGGGCTGGAAGGGGCATCTTGTCGAAGACCGTGCTTCTGGTGTACTGCGCCTGTGAAGATGCCACGTGAAAGTGCCCAAGCCCTCGCCAGGAATTGCTGGCCCACCCGGCCGTGAAGCAGCTCGGGGGGGAGGCCACTGCCAGGCCCGCTCGCTATTGTGTCGTTTTGCCGATGAAGCCAGGGCAATTTACTTTAGGGGCCGTCTTGCGTTTGGCCAGGCTCGATGCTTCCTCCGGACTCGACTCGCTCGCGTCCTCCTGGGACGGCGGGAAGATCATCGAGGCCGGGCAGCCGCAGCCGAAGGAGACACTGTAAGCCAGTAAGCACTTCGCAAAGCTGCCAGCTCTTCCCTTGGCTTCTGGAGGAAGATGAGAACCTGACACTCCAGTCGCCAGCAGGACCGGAAGGTTGTTGAACAGGTTCTGGTTCAGGTGAACCGTGGAGAAAGCCGAAAACTTTCGATCCGTACCTGGATGCTAACCGTCAATTCGTGTGATTCGAGGTGGTTTAGCTTGCAGAAATAGAGGGCTCCAACCACCGGAGGCTTCGCAACACATCAAGTCAATCAAATTCAGCCTGCATCATGTCCAGCACGAAGGTAACCGCCTGATGCACTCAGAGGATATCCAGGTCAATCTTGAAAAGCAAGACGTCTTGAGCTCGGAGCCGGCGAGGAACTTTACACTCTACGGAATTTCGAATTTTAGTCGCTTGGCTGCACATACAGGAGCATGCCCGCCAAACGATCTCTGAGAGCTGAACTAGCATCCTCTTTGGTTGATGACAAAATGTAAGTTCCAGGGCTGAGTCTTGTTTTGATATGAGTCTATGTGTATATAATGATATACTCACGCGTACAACGGCATGCCTGAGGGCTTGGCAGCACCTGCAGGTGTTAGCTGTAGTCAACTGCTTGTGGCACCTAGGGCTTGCGAGCGTTTAACATCCGTTTCCTGTAGAGCTGCCAAGGATCACAGCACCGGCGAGGGGAAGTCCCTGAAGGCTCTTGGGCCGGGACGGAGGTGGAGAAAGCTTCTGCAAGAAGCAATGTGCATAATACATAATATAATAAATATTGTACAGTATATGGCACAGTATGTAAGTATATCCTCTAAAGTACATAGCATATTCTACATATAGCACGTCTATAAGTATGCAAAATATATGTAGATCCTGGATCGGTAGAGCCTTACATGCACTCCGACACACCCCACAAACCCCTCTCATGGTTGGGGCCCTGAAACATTGCGGCTTGGCATAGGCAAGCTCCAGTTTTGTGGAGGGCTTCTCTGCACGGACCCGGATTCTGTCTGGTGTGCTTGTCCTTGCCGCTCCATTCATCTTCTGCTGGTTACCAGCTGCAGGGGATCCTCGAAGCCGAAGCTTTCGTGGGAAGCGACATGACAAAGAGCGACGCTGGGCGAGAGGTGGAATGCCGGAGATAGCTGCGAGAAACCCCCGCCCTGTGATTCATACTTGCTATCCGTGCTGGCATGAATTTTCTCTTGACCCGCTCCCAAGCGTAGCTTTAGTTGCTAAGCGGCACAGGGGCTTGCTTGTGCCATTGCATCGCATTTATGGGCATTATTGTTGTGGCTCGGGAGTTAAAGCTCCGATAGTAGTTTCGAATCTACATGAAGATCTTTCCAGCTTCCCAGGATATGTCGTACACCATGCCTGCAGCTGGGCAGAATGTTGGATCTTGGGTTGTTAGGTTTCGAACCTTCAGCGTTGTGGTCATGTGAAAGGTATCGTCAAGCAGCACTGCGCAGAAGGCGATGTAAGTTTTCATCGTCATCCTTTTCCTTGGCTCCGGTATCTGGCAGGTCGTACACTGGCCCGCAAAAGGAAAGCTCCAAAGCAGCCCGGGGCAGCGTCGCACAACCTACAAACCCGAAACCCAGCGCTAGAACCGAAAACCGTGAACTTCCCCGAAACATCAGGGGAACAAAGCCCGCTTGGCCCAAACCCTATCTCTCTGCTGAGTGACAAATCAAACCCCTGAGTCCTAAGCGTCACTCTAAACCCCAAGCCCTAGTGCGACCTAGTCAGCTAAGCGGGCGAGAGACAAAACTCCATGCGGGAGGCAAGACTAGGCTTCTGGCTTTTTGGGGATCATGGCAACCAGGTCTCCGAAGGAGACACGCTGACATCGCTGACTTCCGGAAGGCACTGGTAGAGTGCAGGGGTTCGCGTGTAGTGCTGGTAGGATTTAACGGTTCTGCTGAGTTGTTGGAATTCTGACAGTCTGACAGCTCCTCCAGGTTGGGGGTGTCCCAGTTTTTTTGTGCCGTCTTCTCTTTGCGTTGGCAAAAAGGGGTCTTTCGGTTTCTGTCTCGTCCTAGACGTTTCGCGTACACTCACGTCGTGCTCAATCCTGCCATGTGGTTGCCCTTCAACCCCTGCAGATGCTATAGTCTTCCATGCACAGCGCGAGAAAATCCCTGCCCCACGGACGTGCCATGGCCCCCTTTTTTTGTCTCCTCCGTTCACAGGAACACTGGCAGCGGCCTAGCGGAGGCTCCCTGGAGTGACTTTTCGGATGCAATTTTTCAAAAGGGGTTTGGGGCGGTCAGTTCCGGTTTAGATGTGGGGAAGCCTTTCGTGCCGTGGCCGGCAGACGCCCCCGACTTTTGCCACCGAATCGCCTAGCCTCGCAGATTCTGGCAGGCCTTGGAGATATCGCTGCAAGGCACTTCTACACTTGTCCCGTTTCTTGGCCGAAGTCTGACGATGCCCAGCCTATCTGCTCACTTGTTGGAGGGCCCTGCATGCTGAGTGCGCTGGCGAGCTATTCCATTGTGCTGGGGAAATGCGCCGTGAGACGAGAGTATTGTCAGCGATTGTAAAGCTGCTTCTGTAGCTGCTTCAGCTATGCAAAGCTCTCTCAAGAAGTTCTGGAGCACCTCCTGACCCCCCCCCCCGCCGCCCGCTCAGCTGCCCCACGTGAGGCACGACAGAAACGACCGGCTCGTGGATACCCAAGCGACAGGGTTGTCGGACAAAGTCTTTCCAATAAGATCGTCCGCGTTTTGCCGCACTCCAGACGCTAGAACTTGCATCGTGGTCAGTTGAGACTTAGATCTGGGGACTGTTTCCTGCTTTCCCGAGCTTCCTTCCCTACGCAACCTCATCCCAAAAAGAGCTCGGAAAACGTGGGACGTAATGTGGGTTTGAGGCCCAGGAGCTGGCGGCCCGTGCCGGGAAGGCAAGGTCAAACCAGTGAAACCGGCAGCTCCCTGTTTTTGTTTTAATTACTTCCTTCGGAGTTACGGATTGTTCAGGTTGACTTCCACAACGAACTGCAGCAAATGCAACTTACACAAACTACACACGCACGAGGCAGCAGTAAGCCAAAGTAACCACAGCGCCGCGGCCTCCTCGGGCCCACTGGCACTTCTAGCATCACTATCGGGCCGGCAATGCCAAATTCGCACTTCCAAATGTCTGAATACAACTAAGCTCCTTGAGCAAGTATGATAACACATCATACCATATCTTGCTATGCCAATATCATGATCTGGATGTGTTTATCATGTCATGTCATATCATGCTTGGTTGTGTTGTTGTACCATTCTACTACATATACTATGCGGTTTGAAACTTTATCATACGGCATTCTACAGTATCATGTCGTTTCATATTCTACTAGCCAATGTATTTCTCGCTCTTAATATTTTCGCGATACATAGTATTTTTCATTATTCGGTCATGTGCCGTATTATTCTAGTACGATTATTTCTATAACCCAGGGAATGTTAGATTATGTTCTGGTTGCTTGCGGTGTACCATGCTATAGTGTGCGATATGTGTTGGTTGATTTGATGTCTTATTTAATTTGATTGAATGTGGTTATGTTATGTTATGTTACCTTACCCTATATTGTCTTATCTTACATTAGGCCAAGTAACAACATACTATACTGCACCATACGTGTTCATGTTATATCATGTTCTACCACAATACAACATGTGCGTATACATACATCATATCATTACACTCTTTGCTTTCATATTGCGTTCTGTTTTGCTATCTTATACCGGATTTTACAAACGGTTATTTCCATGAACTAGTTTGTAACGGTAACTTGCATGGCACAGGATATTGTACTCTATTAAATTCTGTTGTACTGTAAATAGTGTTACTTCGCCATAGAATGTGATAGTATGTTATATTCCGGTCTGTTCCATTGTAGTGCATTCTATTACAACATATTGTGTTCTTGTGCTGCATCAATTTTTCTCACGTTCGACTCTGTTATGTTATATCCCATTGTTTAGATTATGTGACTGTACTTTACACTATATATTGAATTATGTTTATCATATTGGATTGTATGGTGTTGTGCTGTAATGATTACGTCGTGTTTTATTGTGCTGTGGTTCTTACATACTCTTACCATACAGGTTTCTGTCAGAGCACGGACGAGCATGCAGGCGCCAGGTGGAGAAGATGATGCCGAGCCCCGGCCGCAAGGGTCCAGTGGGCTTTAGGGTTTAGGGCCTAGGGTGCTGCTCTTGCAGGCTGGATGCAAAAGGGCCTAGGGTGCAACGTGTGTCACTTCGATGTCCCGGAATCAGGACGCCATGACGGGAGCCACCCTGCTTCCGTCTGAGGTGCGCGGCTTACTAGCTGCTGGTGTGTGTGCACTGACGCCTTTCATGATCGTTCCGTTGGGTCTGCAAGAGAGGTTTCTTTGCACGTGCTTGTCATTGTCGTGTTGCTAAGGGAAGAACTGCCCCTCCCCTCAAGGCGGTTTGTCGGACATGAAAGCCTGGTTTGCCTCAGTTGTGCGTGCGGGGGGCTCTTGACCACAAGATTGTCTTCGGTTGTAGTGAACTGTCCTGTTGAGGTCTCTGCTTGCTTGTATTGTTTGGCCAGTTGTTGGTGTCGTTTTGCCACATGCCCGTGTTTCTTCGTGGCCTTCTTGGCCTCTCCACCGCAAGGCCTTCACTTGATGTGGGTATTGGCTTCCACTCCCCACGCACCCCTGTCCGTTTGGGGTGAGGCGTCCCAGGCGCCCGCCCGCCCGCCCGCCCCGCCCAGTTACCGGCCGGCACGGCGAAGATGCGGGCGACACAGAGAACCATGCAGCACCACAGCGATAGACGACAGAAGCGAAGCCAGGGCTGCGCAAGAAGAAGTACAGGTTCAAGGGGTCGGGACAAAGCAGGGCAGGTGCGGAGGAGCACCAGGAGCATGGCTCGAAGCGCATGCAACATCGTCGTATCATCATGCACAACTGCTGTTTATGCCACTCAACCCTTCAAGCCGAAGCACGAGCAATTGCAACAGCCTCGCGAACTCGGAATGCTGCTTGTCTCATGCACAAATACCTGAAAGCCACCATAGATCACCGAGTTCCATGCTTCTGAATCGCAGATGCTTGGGTTTTGAGTTTTGACTGCTATTTGTGGGCTGCGAGGAGGAGGAGAAGCTGCGGAAGAAGAGGGAAGAGGCCCTGCGGCAATTTTTTACTCGAGTTCGGTCGGGTGCCCTGTTTCTTCTCAGATGTGCAAACAAGCCTTACCAGGAAGCCTTGTGATCCAACCTAAGAAGATCGCATCCGCGCGGAGGAAGTTTGGGGTGTGTGGGACATCGTCGGCTGGCGAGTAGCCACTGCGAGGATCATGAAAGGTTGACGAGATGGGTAATTTCGCTTCTACGATTCCACGATTTGCAGACACACGAGAGGCTCCAGAACGCACATCTGTCGATCACCCTTGCCTGCCTGGTTTGAGTATGAGCCGAAGCACATGGGACCCATAAGCTCCGCGAGGGCAGACACGGCTCTTCTGCAGTTCATTTGCCCTTACAGGCGTACTGCTACGGATGGAAAATATGGTCAACCAGCCATACCGCTCCCAAAACGTGCACTGTCCCCGATCGACAGAACGAAGCCTTTGCCGAAGAGATGCGGCCTCTTGGTGTGCGTGTCAGATGTCAAGCTTCCGACTGGTTCACGAGCTTGGCCGCTGAGTTCAGGAGGTTCTGAAGCATTCTGTCTGCTGGGGGTTGGGGGACCTGGTCACAGGACCCTAATTCCTGACCTATGCAACCTCGCCTGGCTTGTCCGAGTTGTGAGAACGTAATTCGTGAGCTCCGTACGTCTTTCTGAGGCTCTACAAGCTGCAGATGGAGGCCGAAGGTGCCACTGGTGTCTCTTGGAAGTCTTTGGATTCCTTTTGTTTCGCTCGGACGGCTGTAAGGCTTCGGATGGCTTAGGCTTTGAAGTCTGTGGGGGGTGGGGGGGGGCATGCCGGGATGCTTGCAGAGCACCGGCTCTTCAGTCGGTCCGTGCGAAGGAAACGACATCAGATGCCATTTGTTCAGCATGATATACGGTGTTGCATCAGCAAGCATGTCATGTTACATGTTACCTGCCAAGTCAAGCCGTACCACAGCATGGAACAAAACATTGTGGTGCATTCTGTTATATGTTTCGGCTGTAGCACAAAGCGCAGTGTCGCCACAACTGCTAACAAAGGCACTAAACCCTGCGTTGCGGATCAGCTCAACTTGGCCAGCGGCAGCCTCCGCAACTGCCAGGCACGGGCTCTGCCACCATGCGGCCATCGAAGACCCCGGAACCGGAGCCTCCGACGCGGGGCAGCCCAAGAGTTTCGGGGGCTTTTGAGGGCTTTTGTCTGGGACTCCGGGGCCCGAGGCTGTGCTCCAAGAAGCAGCCGGAGCCGAACAATAGCCCGACCCAGGTCTGATCAAATCCCCTCCTCTACAGGGCCTTGGCACCGGGATCCTGATTACGATGTTAACGGAGAGTTGACGGGGCAGCCAACAGCCAAGCCGACGAGCGCTTCGGAACCCGAGGTCGCCCCAGACGAGGCACTGGCTCTGATCCCGTGTAGGGATTGGCTGAGAGCGCGGTCTGCCTGCCTCCTTCCTGCCTAGCTTCTTTCCGTTTGATGCTGATGATGACGACGGTGATGACGAGACTGATTATCACGACGGTCGTGGTTGTGATGGTGATGATGATTCCGCAGATCCTGACTTTGATTCTGTGTCGTGTTCCCATCAGGACGAGTGCGAATGCAAGCGACGAAGGCTGGCAGGGCCGGGTCTTTGTGGTCTGTGCTTTGTCTCCGTGGCTTCGGAAAGAGTTGGGAGTTCAGGTTTCCAGGCAAAGAGTTCTTGGAGCGCATCGGCATGCCGATGCTTAAACCCACCAAGACTCTCTGCTTTGTCGCTTTAGTTCCCAAGCCGGGTCGCTCGTTTCAGGTGACTTCAGCCCGAGTAGACCAAAGACCAAGCAGGCCCAGCGGAGGGAGGGGAGCGGAGAGGGAGGACTGAGGCAGAGGATGCGGACGGCTTTGTTGAGGAGACTTTGCTTTTTTGCCTGAACTGTTTGGGTGATGCCGGATCTCTCAGGGATATCCTGCAAAGGAGTCGAGTGAATGGGGATGCCGTTTCTCAGGAGCGACGAGAGGAGGAAGCCGAGAAGAGACGCCAGGAGCTCCAACAGGTGCGCTGTTTAAACAGCTTGATGCATAATAAGCCAGATTTTAGATGTTATGCACGTTGGATCAGATATAGTATCATATAGTATCTATAATGGTCTCCTGAGGCCTTCGCAAGTGGCGTTGAAGGGGCTTTGGGGTTTGGGCACGGGTTTGGGTGTTCAGGGTCTTGGGACTAGGGTTTTAGAGCGTGGGCGTCGGGGTTGTTTGTTTGGGTTTTGCATCTTATGAGCCCTGCTTGCATGATCGTGCTACGGCAATCATCGAAGTAGAAGCCTGAATTGTCCCGACAGTTTCCCCTAATCCTTAGGGATCCCATTTCGATTGTAGTGGCACACACACCCCAAGGCCTTATTCCAAATCTTGAGGCCCTTATACCAGCAACCTAAGAGGGCACGGCCTACAATAGCCCCTTCCCACCTTTTCCCGCCAGGCCATGGCTGAGGCGGCCCTGGACAAACAGAAGGCCAGGGGCTGACCAGAGAAGTAGGAACCCTTCATAGGAGCCTTCCTTTTGTGGGCTTATTCAGGGGACCCTGGCAGCGACTCCAACCTGGTTTTTGTTTGTCGAATGTGGGGTCTTGGGGGGGTTATAGAATGTCGCTGGTGGACGAGCGTCAACAAATGCGATGGTGAGGCGGGCGCAGCCTTGACTTCTAAGCCGCCCGCCCCAAGACATCCGACATCATGTGACCCTCTGCACAGGCTCGGGAGAGGATGGAGAAGGACTTCTTCGGTTGGAAAAACTGTGCGTTGGACAAATGTCCAAAACTCCGTTTACTTCTACAGGGGAAAGATGTCGCCCAGACCTGAACCCCAAACCAAACCACCACTGTCAGAGGGTCCTGTTCCTGTATCAAGCCGACTCGAACCTATGGAACCTCGCCTAGAACATGCCCGAGTTGTGCGAGCGTAAACCCTTGCTACTGACCTTCTTGCGCCGGGCTCGGGCTCGAAGGTTTGGGGTATTTGCCCGGGGGCCCCGGAGCTTCAAAGTTCCAGGAGCGTGGTGGCACCATGAAAGTTGTGGGCACCGACAAGGACGCCATGTGTAAGGCAGTCGGTACGGAGATGCGTCGGCAGGCTTTCCACAAGCACTTCTGCTCCGCAGCAACACATTCTGAAGCCCTGAAGTTCCTGAAGCCATCTCAGCCCTGTGTGGTATGCAGCATGTTATGAGGCAGCATATGTTGATGCGTAGTATATCCACCGCGAAGACATAGGCATAATCTAGACATACACTTGATTCTACCGCACATACTCTCTGCACTCAGCCCTAAGCCTTAAGCCCGAAGCCCTCTTAAAACCCCAACATACATACATTGGAGGACAGGTCCTTGACCAGCAGCCCCGGGTCGGGGTCCCACGGTGAGTTCGAAACAGGCTTCCTGTGTCTTGGGGGGTCTCAAGAGGGAACGAAGATGCCCAGTTAAGATTTAAGGGCATAGTATAGGCGCCTGATTGCCAATGCTCCTCAAGGTTCCACTGGAGAGTTCTACCCTACACCCTAAACCCTACTATAGTAATTCCAGCGATCATGTCGCCAGGCCACGGGGCTTCTAGTGTGTCGGGCTTTGCAGAGGGATGCTGAGGGTTTAGGAATGATCTCGGCTCTGACGGGGAGGCAGGCGTGAAACTTGATTTTCAAAGTGCTCCGTATGTCATGGCATCTCGAAAGTTCGGCGGTTGGGCACCTGTATGTCATGCACCACAAGAGATGGACGAAGCAGCTGGGAAGCCCAGGCTTCGTGGCGCTGGTGCCAGCATAACTGGTGCCAGTCTCGGTTCTTGCCGGTCCCCAACTTGAAGAAGCAACTAGGGTTCCCATCTTCTCAGACGGCCACAAGCAGTCCTCATGTTGTCACGGGGTCATAACAGACTCTGCCCAAGTTTGGCAAATCTGGGTAACTTTGCCCTTGTGGCCTTTCCCGCCTCTGACTCAAGCTGTGATGAGGAAGTGGAATCATTTTATGGAACTGAACTAAACGATCGAGATGATACGCGAGCAACATGCGTCCGAGTGTAACAACCTGTCAACTGGAGACAGAGACCATCTTGCAGGCAGGTCAGACTTAAAGGACAGCTTCACTTGAAGGTATACGGCACATCTTCTCAAAAAAACGTAAAGATTGTGTGCGGCTGATTCGTTGTCTCACCTTCACGATCTCTCATGCAGCCATGGCTTCGCCGAGAAATCTGGACGTTGAGTTTTCCTCTAGTTTGTGTAGCCACCATCAGCGACTTCGCGTTCACAGACCTGAACCTAGGTTTCGCAATGACACCTTTTTCTGTCGTTGTGTCCGTAGTTTCTGATGTTGTTGAGAAAATGCTTTGCATTAGATTACACAAAAGACCAGGAATCCTACGCCTTATCTGCTTAATGGTACAGCCACATGGACACCCCCTGCCGACACGTCGCCGTATGTCGACTACCGCGTCTGGTTGCTTACAAGAAGGGAGTTCTCTTTTTCGGTAGACGAGATTTACTTCAGCGGCAGCCAAGTGGATGTAGTGCCACTAGGGACGAATTCTTTGACCTTCTCAAGAAGTCGCGACACAGAGACCACCTTTGGCTACGCACAGTACATTGCGGTCATCCCGAACCGGCAGGACGGTGACAGGACTGCAGCATTCAATGAAGCCGATGTTATTGGCTTGGTGGATTACGTGCAAAGCCTGGGCGCATTACAGGTGGAGTCGGTGGCTTTCAGCGACTCGGATAGCGTCGCCACCTACGTGGCGGGGCCCGTGACGTGGGCAAGGCAGGACACCGACTACGGTTTCGTCGAGGCCAGGGCTGACAGGGCTAGGTTTTTTCCCACGTCAGTAACGTAGTAAGCCTCAGTAGCTCGGCAATCTCAATAAACGCGAAGCGCCCGGTCAAGAATCCTTTTGCCCAGCATGATACCTTTGTGGGTCATCCATCATGTTGAGTCACCTTGGCCTGCTGAGTCCACCAGAAACCCATCAATGTTGCGAAGCTTCCTGGCGAATCTTGCTGGGGGCGCTGTGGGCATCTTTTGTTTTCATCCTTCCTCTAGCCGGTGTGGCCAAAAAGAACCAACAAGATGGAGTAGAGCTGAGCTCGGCCTTGCAGACCTTTGCCGTCTACCTGGCTGATGATGCTTTTGGAACCAACGAAGTCTTCGTGGCTTCCGCAGCTTCCGGGGATCTGGGACTCACGATTCCTGCGGGGACTCTGGCAGATGGCCGGTCCTATGCAGCTCAGCTCTTCCATGGCGGAAAGCATTGGGGTCCTATAGGAGTCGAAACACAGAGCCACTAGTTACACTAGTTGAAGCAAACGGCACCGCCGCTCTTTCTAGCAGGTGCTCGTCTACTGCGTGAACTCCCTGGGCCGGGCCACCTCCGCTGCTTCCGCGCTCTTCACGGACTCAGCTCTGACTGCGCCCTCCTCCACCACGAGCCTGACGGCGACGACGACAACTTCAGGAAGCTTCACCTCTACTTGGACCAGTGCCTGGGCTTTGAAAGGCATGGCTTCTCTTTTTGTTTTTAGAGGCGTGGACTCGTAGACCTGCCTGCCTTTTCAGCCAGGCTCCTCTTCGTCCACATCTGTTTCCAGCATGGGCACAAGCAGCAGCACGGCTCCAACGTCGACTGTCACCACCAGTGCCTCCAGCACCAGCACAACTACGTCACAGTCAGCCACAACTACGTCGAGATCTCTGACGTCGACGTCAAGGACCGCGACTACAACCTCCCACTCTACTTCATCGACTCGGAGCAGTACCTTCTCCACAACTCTAACAAGTTCCACCTCCATGAGCATGAGTACGACCACTTCGTCCCAAAGCCGGACCACAACGACCAACTCTGTTTCGTCAACTTTGAGCGGCACTTCCTCAGCAACGTCAACAGTCAGTTCCACCACCACTCTGAGCAGCATTACAACGACTTCGTCCCGCAGCCGGACCACAACTACAACATCTGTTTCTTCAACTTCGAGCGGCACCTCCACCGAAACTTCAACGATCAGTTCCACCTCGATAAGCAGTACTACCATCACTTCGTCCAACAGCCGGACCACAACAAGCTACTCCGTTTCATCAACTTCAAGCGCTACCTCCTCAGCGACTTCAACAGTCAGTTCCAGCCTCATGAGCAGCAGCACAACTTCCTCGTCCCACAGCCAGACCACCACAAACCATGTTTCGTCAACTCTGAGCAGTACCTCTTCGTCAGCCAGTTTCACATCCACCAGAAGTAGTACAGCCACTTCTTCCCGTAGCCAGACCACAACGACCAACTCTGCTTCGTCAACTTTGAGTGGTACCTCTTCAGAAACTTCCACCAGCAGTTCCTCCACCACGAGCAGCATTACAACGACCTCGTCCCGCAGCCGGACCACAACGACGACAGGCGCAGGTGCAGCGTCTACATCCACTACATGGGCAAGTACCGGCACATCTTCCACCACGGACACTTCCACCCTAAGCAATAGTCCTACATCTACTTCGGCCTCCTCGACATTCACAGACACAATCACAAGCAGCGTCTCAAGGACAGCCACTTCTACCACCACTAGCCACTCCTCGACAACGACCCCGGGCACATCTACATCAGTTAGCACAGCTACCACAGCGGCATCCACAACCCGACACACCACCACAGCATCCTCTACTTCAACAGGCACCACAACGACGTCAGAGACATCCAGTTCTACTGCAATTTCCGCGACTTCACTCTCTGGAACCACCGCCACAGCGACATCCACAACTGGAGTGGCCTCTTCCACAAGCAGCACATCCGTCACTGCCTCACGCACGACCACGTCAAGAACTGCCACGGTGACTATGCTTTCGGGCACGACCCCGACAAGCACAAGCTCGTCGACGACAAGGTTGGCCACTTCCACATCAAGTAGTCCAACGAGCACACCAATTTCCACAAGCACCACCACTTGGACAGTATCAGAAGCATCCACTCATTCGTTTACTTCGTCTTCGAGCTCTACATCCACGGCTTCTTCGAGAATTTCGACGTCGTCGTCTATAACTTACACATCGTATCTTCGAGTAACATCTAGCAGCATGACAAGCACCACGACCAGCACCACGACAGAACCGTCCACTGTAGTCAGCAGCATGTCTTTCACAGACCTTGATCCGGCAGCGTACGAGCTGAATGGCTCTGTGACCTGGGTACCACCTGCTGACACGTCGCAGTATCTCCATTTCGGTGTGTGGCTACTGACCAGAAAGGAGTACTCCTCATCCGTTTTTGAGGTTCTGTTGACTGGTAGTCAAGTGAACGACCCAACGACTCCAGAGGGGAATGTGCCGCTGGGCACGAACCAATTAGCCTTCGCTGAAACACGCGATCTGGGGTCCAATGGATATGCTCAGTACCTTGCCGTGATTCCCAATCGGATGGACAACGACTACGTTGCGGCGTACAGTGAGGCAGGTTTTCTGAGCATCGTTGATTCTCCGCTCATGAGCTTGGGAGCATTGGAAGTTCAGTCGGTTTCCTTTTCGGACGAGGACAGTGTCGCAACGTATGTCAAAGGAACAGTCACATGGACTCGGCAAGACAATGTGGACTACGGCTTCGTGGAGGCATCCTGGGGGTTCAATCAGCTCAGAACCGTACCTCCAACAGGAGGGAGAGAGAGAGAGAGAGATAGAGAGAGAGAGAGAGAGAGCGGCGGAAGGAGAGAGAGAGAGAGAGAGCGAGAGTGAGAGTGAGAGTGAGAGTGAGAGTGAGAGTGAGAGTAAGAGTGAGAGTGAGAGTGAGAGTGAGAGTGAGAGTGAGGGTGCTTTTGCCGCCGCTGAGGAAAAGTTTGAAGTTGGAACCCTCAGCACACAGCCGACAACAATGGCAGATGAGGCGCGCGTCACGCACCCAGGTCATAGGGAATGGACAAACTGGCAAGCCCCGGACTTGCATCCACCGCTCGATGGCTGCAAGGCCAGACTTGGGAATCCGCGCAGACAGCTTCACTGCTGTGCCGAAATCAAAGGCTTTGAAGCTCTCTCTATGATGCTTTGCCACAGTGTCAGAAAGGGCTTCTGCGTCATCACCGAATGCTCTAAGCACTTGCAGCCAGCACACGTCGATGCCTTGTTGGAGAGCGAGGGTCCTTCCGATGCCGTGAGCGACGATCTCTGTCTTGGGCAACTGGCCGTGGCTGCGGATCTTTACAGCTTTGACCATACCTTGCAGCCACCCTGGCAGCTGCGTCTTGGTTTCGAAATGAAACAGCATACCCGCATGCATGGCAACGATGCGGTGGTGCCCCTTGACAAACACGAGCTGCTTCTCATCATCTGCCGTGTATGCTACATGGAACACGTCCCAATCTCGCCAACACATGGCCAGACTGATATTCGACCATTTCTCACAAATCCCAGCGAGACTCACGCCACGGTGACCGTACTTCCTGGAAGCGTGAAAGGCCCAGCAACAAATACGACCAGCCCTACAACGTTGTTGCGCGACAAGCCAGAACCAAACAGTGTACCTGTGACCCGTCCGAGCTTCATGTCTGGCGAAGACGGCAAATGAGAGAGTGGAATCAAAGCTCCGCATTCATCTGCATCAGAAGCCACAGCCGAGGCCCCGTCATTGTGACCTGGGGTGCTTATGATGGTCTGAGCAGACCTCAATGACAGCACCGGCAGCCCCTTAACGTGGCCACACAATCTTACGCACCTTTGGGGAACCTTCCGCATGACTGGCAGCGTCAAGAACGTTGAACAACACGCAAACAGCTGGCACTATGAACTAACATTTACACATGGTACGCTGGAAGACAAAACACTTCCAGCCGGGGCGCCGCAGGTTGTCATGAGCCACGAGGTATATTCAGGAGACGGATGGTGCAGGCTTCCCAGCACGTCCGGCTGGTTGCGGAGCCAGCATACAACAGGATCTTCTTCTGCAACAGCCATGACCTGCACAACCACAACTTCTTCAGACTGTGGCCAGCAGGGACCCTGTGGACGTTTTTCGTGGAAGCAGAAGGCACACTGCAGCCGACAATCGTTAGCAATGGAAAGGTTTGCAATCCTGCACCTTAAACACACGTCGTTCCAGGGGTCCTGTCATGCCGCACGGTAGATGGCAGGCTGCGCTAAGTCTCCGTAACTAGCCCGTGCATGGCCTTCACAATGGCAGCCGGCCCAAAGCTTCTGTGCAGCAGAAGCAACACTTGACACAAAACTGCGGACGACCGCAGCAGTCAGCAAAGCATCTTGCACTCCGCGAACAATAAACACACTCACCTCAAGAGTTGACCACAGTGCAATCTCGCAGATGTTGCCTCCATGTGGAAGGAAGCCAGCCTGACGATCCACAGGAATATGAAGCTTTATGTATACCGTAATTAAGGTGTGCATTGGGTTCTCTCGGTACCCTCTCCTCTTAGAAGGGCAGCAGCTAATGCAAAAGCCTGAATAGTTGCTAGTATTATGTCTCAAGGTTTCGAATATAATTCCGCATGATATACCCAAAAATCTATTCCAACTCGCGCAAGAAGGCTGAACCCAGAAAGTCCAAAATCCCTGCATTTCGGAATGTACCTTTAAATCCTCGTGAGCATCCCTCCATAATTCGAGGTATATCCCGTACAAGACCCCTGACGAAAGTCTATGACATGCAGCAGCTACCCTTTTCTTGACAAGACTCTAGAGGTCTGCTTATTCCACCTAAGATGCCCGCAATACATTGATGAAGCCTTAGATTGTGGCGGTGGCGCGGTCGTACCGGCGGCGCTCGGCGTCGCTCGGCGTCACTCGGCGTCATTCCGCGTCACTCCGCGTCGCTCGGCGTCGCTCGGATGATGCATGTGATGATGCAGACGCTACCCATACACAGAGAACGGTTCGGAGAGCCAGCAGGCAGCTTCTCCGGAAACCATCAACCCTAGAGTTCGCAGCTTCGGGGTTACGGATCCATGCATGTTTCTTGTGGTGGTGAGGAGCTTGGGATTTAGGGTTTCGGGTATGGGTTTAGGGTTTAGGGCTGGGCTCAGGGCCAAGAGTTCCCGGGTTCGTGGGCTTTGCGGCCCCCAGAAGATCACAAGGAAGGAGAAAAAGATAAGACAGTTCAAATCTGCTCGACACATCATTCTGCGATGACCCCCGGTTGAAAGGCCATGGTGGCACAAGTCTTTAAATTTCCAAATCCGTAACTGAACCCAATCTACTAAAGGTTTTGGGTTTAGGGTATGCCTGAAACCCTAAACCGACACACCAAAGCCCGAAACGATGGCAAAGAGGAAGGTTCGCAAGAAGAGGAAACTCGGTGGGTCCTAAACTGTCCCAGACCACCAGCAACAACGGAGTGCCGCACGGGTTTAAACTCATAAAGAATCGGTGCCTTTATGGATTTGAAGCCCTATGAACCCCAAAACCCCTACACCCTGATTAATTTCGTTAATTTTGGGGTACCTCGTCAAGGCTGAGTGTACGGGCTTAGGGTGGTTGTGGGCTCTTTTCAGTCTTTTGCGGATTTGGACGAAACTGCGTCTAATTCGCACGATTCGGGTGCCCCCCCCAAGAACCCCCATCCCAACGCCTCCCCCTCTCCCTCCCCCTCTTTGAGCCAAACTTGAGCCGAAATTGTTAGGGTTAGGGCCCAACCCTTCACGGGTTGGGTTCTGTTCCAGACCGATGCTTGCATGGGGCTAGGGAGGTACATGCAGGCAAAGCCGCTTCCCCCCCCCTTCCCACCTTGCTCAAATGCTTTGTCTCGGAGCGCAAGCCACGGTCGGGAAAGGGGTGGGGTAGAGGTATTAGGGTTCTTTCTTCTTTCCTGAGGCGGTGAGTTTTGAGCGAAGTAGCGTCTAATTCGCACGATTTGCGCCTGGCCCTGCCTCCCAGTCCCAGCCTTCGGAATTTGAGCAAATTAGCGCCGAATTCGCATGATTTGGGTCCCTGCCCCAGCCCAGCCCAGCCTGAATTCAGCAAATTTGCGTCTAGTTCACACGATCAGGGTCCCAGCCCAGCCGGTGAGTTTTGGGCGAATGAGCGTTTACAATTCGCACGACCTGCGCCTGGCCCTGCCCCCCAACCCCAACCTTGGGAATTTGAGCAAATTAGCGCCTAATTGGCACGACTTGGGCCCCTGCCCCAGCCTGAATTCAGCAAATTTGCGCCTAGTTCACACGATTAGGGTCCCAGCCAAGGCGGTGAGTTTTGAGCGAATTAGCGTCTAATTCGCACGATTTGCGCCTTGCCCTGCCTCCCAGCCCCAGCCTTCGGA